AAGAGCCATGAGAAGATTTCTCTAAAAGTCATCTTTTCAGAATGTTTAAGGTTATCAAACACAACAAAAGCATTTGTTTTGTTTTTGACACCTCCAATCCTCCATTCTTGTTCTTGTTCTTGTTCTTGCTCTTACTCTTTCTTAGATAGTTAACTAATCCATGGATCTTTGTTTTGCCTTAACCTTTCCTGTCTGAATTTTTTAATTAGGTAAATGGGGAGATATACAACCATAAAGAATTGAGAAAAAAACTGACTTCTCATCAATTTCGCACTGGAAGTGACTGTGAAGTGATTGCTCACCTTGTAAGTGTTCAAGACTTCAGGAAATCTAGTGATCCTCATGTTATGTCCTATAAATAATGAATGAAGATGCTTTGTTTAATGCGGCTTGTCTTACTATCTTCCCCCTTGTTTACTTGTGACAACCTGTAATCATCTCAGTATGAAGAATATGGTGAAGACTTTGTTGACATGTTGGATGGCATGTTCTCTTTTGTCCTTCTAGACACTAGAGACAATCGCTTCATTGCAGCTCGTGATGGTATTGGGATTACCCCTCTTTACATGGGCTGGGGTCTTGATGGTATGTGGCTTTACTTTGTTATAGAATGAATAGATGCTTTAGTAACCTTGATCATCAATATTGTAAGGCCATATATGGGAAATTCCGAAATTTTAATAAAACAGTCATGTTAGTGTTACAACTAAGATGTCATTATTAAACAGACAGAAGTAATATTATATAGGACAAGAAAATGGCCCTAATTTGAGGTGGATTCATCTAATAGGTTGCATATTTTTACTTTGACTCGTATTTGAACAATTAAAGCAAAAGTTCAGTAAATGAAATTGACATTTTGGCTTTTCACTTTAATCTGGTTGGTATATCCACTCTCTAGGTCTTCAACTTCCCTACAGTTCAATGTGGGCTAATTCAACAGCTAACTGAGAAATTGTTTGCAATGGGTTCAGATAATGAGCATAATAACTATATTTTCAGAGACTAAATTGAAGTAAATCATAAATATGTGCCATGACCATCTCAATCTCCCCATCAATTGAGCTCTTGGCTCTATACAGTAACTCGCCCAGAAATTTTACAGTTTAAGTGCTGCACTTATTTGCAAGAAAATCTCTATACACATGTTTGTGTAGTACCATTTGAGTATTTCATTCTATATTAAAATACTCTGTGTTATCTTCCCTAGTCTTTTAAGACTGGTGTTTTGTTTTTTATACTTGAGAAAGTAGTTAAACTGACATGATTGCCCTAAGTTCATAATGAATTCTCTTATATTTTAGTTCAATGTTAATATTGAGATGACCTCAAAATATCCACAAGGACTCCTTAGTCCTCACATTTTGAAAGATTTGATTTTTCTTCCAAGGCATGTAACTGAAGCATCTCTATCACCCTCCCCCCCTCTCGCTATATTATTCTTTATGAATAGTACTTCTGGAATAATATCTATTCACCTTGCCCAAATACTACTTCTGGATGGAGGATAATGATGTACCTAACACAACTAGTTTGACGAAGCTTCTTCACTGTAAATTGGCAAGTTGGTTTATATTTTTTATAATTTGAAGTTTGAACAAAGCATGTGTCTTGTATACTGAAGGCTTAATTTAATTTCAGGATCTATATGGTTTGCATCTGAAATGAAAGCTTTGAGTGATGATTGTGAGAGATTCATATCTTTTCCTCCTGGGCATTTATATTCCAGCAAACAGGGTACTCAAAACTCCTACGTCGTCAGCTATGTTGATGAATCTTGTTATTCTCATCCTTTTCTTGTTTTCGCTTTGATTTTTGAGATACTATTTCATTTATATATCCTTTCAAAATTGTTGCCTTCTCAGGAGACCTAAGAAGGTGGTATAACCCACCCTGGTTCCCCGAGAACATTCCATTAACTCCATACAATCCTATGGTTTTACGTGAGGCATTTGAGAAGGTAAGCTACCATGTTCTGTTGTACTCAATTTGCCTAAGAAATGCTTTATACTGTTTTGATTCCCTGAAATTTTGACATTTTAAAAATTATACCTACATGTATTGACAGTGGCTTGCCATTTTCGCTAGAACCTGAATCCACTAAATTTCCTGGGGCAACAATTTAAGTGGAGGACCTTGAGATTGAATCAAGGAAAAACTGAATAGTCATGCAGAATCACTGTTTAATAAGCAATAAATGCATTCTCAATGAAACTTTGTTGTGCCCTTTTGAGAAAATATAATTGATATCTACAAAATATTTGAAGATTTACCTATGAATTTATTATCACTATCTTCTTATACCAGCACTGGAACTCAAATCCCCTGGATTTCAACTTTAGGGGCTCACTAGGACCAAATATGCTAGCTTATTTATTATTGGTATCTGTTGCATATGATAATCCCAGGACCAAGTAGGGTGGTTATTAATGGGAGGAATTTTTGGCTTACATGCGGTAAAATTGTTTGTTAAAGTGATTGTTACAATGGTGTAGTACAGGGTGTTGGGCGATAATAGTTCTGAAAGTGGGGATAGTGTTTAAAAATTATATGTGCGGCTTTGTGAAGGAGAATAGTCTTTCCTGGTTCCTTTTGCTGGTGCATATGATCATCCCAGGACCAATAGGGTGGTTATTAATGGGGGAATTTTTGGCTTACATGTGGTAAAATTGTTTGTTAAAATGATTTTGTTACAATGGTGTAGTACAGGGTGTTGGGCGATAATAGTTCTGAAAGTGGGGATAGTATTTAAAAATTATACATGTGGCTTTGTGAAGGAGAATAGTCTTTTCTGGTTCCTTTTGCTGGTTCATGTTTAATGACTTTTTATCTTGGTTTTACTTTTATTCCATACAGGCCGTTGTTAAGAGACTTATGACTGATGTACCATTTGGAGTTCTATTGTCTGGAGGACTGGATTCATCACTGGTTGCTGCTGTTGCCAACCGTCATTTGGCTGAATCTGAAGCTGCTCGTCAGTGGGGATCACAGTTACATACCTTTTCTGTTGGTTTGGAGGTTTGAATACTTTACTCATGTTTGTTGAAAAAGAGTGGTGTGTTGATAATGTTTTCTGACAACTCATATGCTTGAAGTTTTAACTTTAACTAATATTCAGGGTTCACCAGATTTGAAAGCTGCCAGAGAGGTTGCAGATTATATTGGGACTCGTCACCATGAATTTCATTTCACTGTTCAGGTGGTGAATGTCTTCATTATTTTTTTCAGTATAAGGACGAAAAACTATTTTATTTGATTTTGTCCTTTTGACATAAGGCATTTCTTTTACTTAGAGGAGTAAAATATACTCATGCTATGGCAGGAAGGAATAGATGCGCTTGAGGAAGTCATTTACCATATAGAAACATATGATGTAACAACCATCAGAGCAAGCACTCCTATGTTCCTTATGTCTCGAAAAATTAAATCCTTGGGAGTGAAGATGGTCCTTTCTGGGGAAGGTTCAGATGAAATATTTGGAGGTTACCTGTACTTCCACAAGGCACCTAACAAGGAAGAGTTTCACCAAGAAACATGTAGAAAAGTACAGATATTGTTTCCTCTTTTTGCTTGAGAACCAAAATTAGTGCTTATATAGTTAAATTCTTATTCATTTCCCTCTTATGACTTTGATGATTTGAAATTTTGATGGCTTTGATGGTTTGATAGATTAAAGCACTACATCTTTATGACTGCCTGAGAGCCAACAAAGCAACTTCAGCATGGGGTTTAGAGGCGCGTGTACCATTCCTAGATAAAGAATTCATTAACATAGCCATGAGCATAGATCCAGAGTGGAAAATGGTATGTAAACTTTAGTTTTACAATATGTTCCTTTGTTCAAGCGTAAAAAAATGAAGCTGTCTTTGTATTGCTGGTTTTATTGACAAATGAAATTAAATTCACGTCACACAGGTAAGGGCTGATCTTGGAAGGATAGAGAAGTGGGTTCTACGCAACGCATTTGATGATGATCAAAAACCATATTTACCAAAGGTTGGTATCAACTATTGCGGTATGCTTTTTTACTTTGCTTGTTCACTTGAATCCAAGTTGTTAAAATGTCTTGTTTTATTTGAAGTCCTTGCCTCTGTGATTTGTGAATTTCTATATCTTTGTTGAATTTCTGACTTCTTTCCCTTTTTTTTTTTGGGGGGGGGGTTATTTTAGCACATATTATATAGGCAGAAGGAACAGTTCAGTGACGGTGTTGGGTACAGCTGGATTGATGGCTTGAAGGAGCATGCCAACAAACAAGTATGGTCTAGCTTAGGACACTGAGGTTCATTTTCTGATTTGATGCTCGTCAGTAAACTTCTTTGGCTATTTAATTTCTAATAGACCCACCCCTTGTTCTCTTTTGACGATTGATCAGGTCACGGATGCAATGTTGATGAATGCAAGTTTTGTTTACCCAGAAAACACTCCTAACACGAAAGAAGCATACTTCTACAGAACAATTTTTGAAAAGTTCTTCCCCAAGGTAGATGTGATAATTTTCATAGATTTGCTCAAATTGAACGTCAGTTGCTTACAAAATTAACATTCTTCCCACCTTATCATTATGTTCAACCATTGAAACAGAACGCTGCTAGGTCAACAGTTCCAGGAGGCCCCAGTGTGGCATGTAGTACTGCAAAAGCTGTGGAATGGGATGCATCTTGGTCAAAAAATCTAGACCCGTCTGGTCGTGCCGCACTTGGCGTTCATGAAGCAGCATACGAGGAAGCAAGAGTTGCCAAACCTATCAATGGTGCCCACTGAATTGCTTTTGGGGGAAGTTGAATTCTGTATATTTAAGTATGGGTTAACAAAAGAGTAGTAGATGTGTTGTTTCTAGATTATATTTCAGAACTCTACTATGTAACGGGCACAAGTCTTCTCTTTTTTATTTCTTTGGAGAATTTCTGTATTGATGTGGGTTGTTCGTTCATCTGATAAAGTAAGCAAACGCTTGTGGAATGTTAATCTTGTGTCCGTATTCTTCATAAAAATCGAAATTTAGTCCTACTAATCAATTTCGTATTTACAACTGGAGTAAATGTATACACATCATGCTCATACATTGTGTTATTTGTAACGTAGTTGGATGAGCGAAATTTGTCATGTTGTCTGGACATGGCATTTCTTACAACGTTTATATTTATATTGTCAGGATTCTAACTCTGACCTATATACAGAAACAGGCTGCAAGGCACTAAATCTCACGCCTGATGTACATATCCAAGGTTAACTACCATCGACAGATCCCAGGTGCCTCTGTTCTGCTTAATGCTAGAACTTCTTCATATTTCGAAGGATATACAAAGCCCCACAGCTGCAAGAATGAACAAGTACTTAATAATGCTCGAGGGATGCGAGTAGAGAGGTCAAAGATTGAGACCCTTCTGACGTAACAAAAAGAAAATAAAAAGGTGTGACTGTGTGGGTGACGCGCGCGCACAGAGTTTAGTGTATGTACCTCTACTTCCTTGACTTCAAAGTCCTGAGAATGTGCAAGGCAAGGATTTCCATAAGTTTCTGATACTGAACTAGACCCGTTCAATCTGAAGTAGATATGACAGAAGTTTGAAAAAATAATAAACCACTCAGGTAAATGATATAAATAAAAGGCATACCCATGAATTAGAGGAAAATATAAGACATCATAATGTAAGGACAGAATTCTTACAGATCACCATCCAAATAAAGCGCAAAATGACCTCCCCCACCAATTGCCAGAAAATCAGGGGAGCAGAGTGTGAAATAGCGGTTTACCCCTGGAAAAATTGAGGTTAACTTGCTCATAACTAGTTGTTGGCCCCCCAAAAAAAAAAAAAAAACACACACACACACACACACACACACACACACAACTAGTCAATAGCAGCTCTAGAACCCAATCCAGGGCATAACCCCTTATCCTTAATTCACTTCAGGCTTTCGCTTATCAGGTGGATCAAAGCAGTAGTGTCACATTTATTGCATTTTTTAACTTAAGAAAACCAAGCATTTCTTCATGGAAATTGGTTCCATTTGTCCAAATGCAATGTTACAAAAAAACCAAACAGGACAGCTGTTCCAACCCAAAAAAAAAAAAAAGGCCCATAAACTGGTCATGGAACCAGTCTGAGCAACCCCAAAAGCCGTCCAACATAAAAATAGACTAAACCGGACAAATGTGCAGGTACATTCTATTGTTTTCTACTCACCTCATCTTGCCCCAAAATTTATTAAAAAATGTTTGTATTCTCATGAAACTTTCAAATCAATCTATTTGTTCATCTATTGTCAATAGTTAGTTAGAAACAACCCTCTTTAATCTTACATCTGAATCACACAATTGATAGAGCACAATAGCGTTATGCAATTCATATAACCAACCTCACTTAGTGAGACAAAGCTTCTTGTTGTTTTTGTTGTTGTTGTATATTACATAAGAATATGGGGCAGAGTTTGGATGGGACACAAATCAGAGACTATCTAGCCCTGACCCTGTCCCAAATTGAAACCATAGAAGATTGGATTTTACCTAAATCCTCAAACTCAGTTCAAACATTGACTTACCCAATACCCAAGGAAGGTGGGGTTCCGATGCACATGGATCAGTCTAAATTGCCATTTGTTGTTCTTCTAAGCCATAACACTATAATAGTACATGTCCTATAATCCCTCAGTCTAATCTTGAGGTAGAACGACTTCCAGAGTGCCCAGACCAAATTAATCTGATCTTATTTGCTCAAGAAAGAGTATAATCATTTTAACCAAAAAAAGAGTATAATCATGATGCAGGGAAGAAAAAAAGAAAAAAAAAAAGCGTACTGTTGATACCTGTTGGGCGATATACTGTAGGATAGCCAGAGGTGCTAGTGAAGACAAAAGTATTGCTTGATCCCTGGACAAAATCTAATGCTATAAATATATAACATATGATAATAGCGCAAATAAAATGTAGAACAGTATAACATAGTCAATAGTCAGTAGGGAAAAGAGTCTAGGATGACCTGATATTTTTTGTTTGATGGCTTTAGTGGTGCTTCAACCAAGCCACCAAAAACTGCACCTTTACGATCTCCAACAACCTGGAGAGAATTAGTTATGAGATAAGTGCAGAAATTATCCTTCCAATTTAAAGGACTATACAATGCAACATCTTCATTAAATTACAAAACAATAGTGTATCAATCTGTACTAAGAACTGCAATCCACAGGTCAAATTAAAAATGTGGGATGTCTTTAAACTCAACAGCGTGGAACTTCAAACCAGAAAGCTTATAAGCATAGGACATCAACAAGTACAGTAAACTACTGCAAACTACTCTAAACCATCTTCAACCATAACTACTACCATACAGTGATCATTGGACAACAATGAAACAAGACAGTTATTGGAATAGCTGGTAATGGTATAAGGTTTCAACTCAGATAAGTATTAACAAGAAGTCATCAAGAAGAGTAGGAAATGACATATATATTGATATATGATAGAGTCAACATAAAATGAAAAAAAAAAGTAAAAATAAAATCAAATATCAAAATAATTATGGCATATGGAGGAGGACATTGGAGTCGAAAGGTTTTCGTCTGAGTAGAAGTAAGACGGAATATTTATATTGTAAATTTGGTAAAGGACTATTCGACAATAATTTGAAAGTGAAATTGGGAGATCAAATTATACCTCAAGTGGAAAAGTTTAGATATTTGGGAGCCATTATTCAAAATGATGGCGAAATTAGTGGAGATATTTTACATAGAATTCAAGCTGGGTGGTTTAATTGGAAAAAAGCTAAAGAAGTTATTTGCGACCGTAAAGTGCCTAATAAACTTAAAGGAAAGTTTTATCGCACTGCTATCAGACCGGCAATGTTATATAGTAGTGAATGCTGGGCTCTAACGGGACAGCAAGAGCATCAAGTTGGAGTAGCAGAGATGAGAATGTTACGATGGATGCGCGGACATACACGTAAAGATAAAATTCGAAATGAGCACGTACACGAAAAAGTGAGGGTGGCACCTGTTGAGGAAAAAATGGTAGAAAATCAGTTGAGATGGTTTGGGCATGTACAAAGAAGATCAAGGGAGGCACCAGTGAGAAGAGTGGAACATATAACTTTGAGTCCGATTAAGAGAGGTAGCGGAAGGCCTAAGAGAACACTCTTGGAAGTTGTTGAACGTGATCTCTTAATTAATAATATTTCTAAAAGCTTGATAAATGATAGAGCATAATGACGTCTTGCAATCCATGTAGCCGACCCCGCCTAATGGGATAAAGGCTTGTTGTTATTGTTATTGTTGTTGTTGTTGTATAAAAGTCTCATACATTTATATTTGTCATCCATCGTTAAGTAAAAGAACTCTATTAAAGTAATCAGAAACAATTTGGAAAAAAAAAAAAAAATCGGTAAACAGAAACTACTGGGTCAGTATCTTCTTGTCCTGCAAGAATCTCAATAAAGAAAGCTTCTAAAACCAAGCCTCATTATCATTTCCATTTGTTAGTTGTTCTAGCATCAAATCTGTAACTTATGGCTACTGGTGTAATGGTATGGTACCTAATGATAGTTAAAATGATTAAATAATAATTTGAAATAAAATTCTCTAATAAAGTAACAGTTGAGCATTAACTATGATGCAGGACTTCTGTGTGATGCTCAATTTGCATATATAATCCAGTCTAAGCCTTTCCTTGGAATGGAAAGAAAAAAGAGAGGAGAAAATTATGGGAGAAAACTAGAGGAAAAAAATCATTGTCCACCTTTGTTTTCCCCAATTTCCCCCTAGAGCAAGGGAAAAAGTGAAAAACTATGGAAAATTGTATACTGGGTAGGGAAAATTGTATCCTATTTTCTTCTGCTTGCAAAAAGAGAGTAAGTAAATATGGCACTCTCAACTCAGTAAAGATAATTTTTGTTTTTCATTTCTAAAGTTGAGCAGAATTAATTCATATGATCTATATTACTCAAGGGTTACTAAACTGTACCAGCAAACTCAAGCCAGGCCAAAGCAAGCTTCTCCTGTACAGTGTCAAAAGTGATATCCCATGCCTCTGTGTACTGCAGGAAATGACGAATAGCCATAAAAGGGCTTATAATCATTTTTTTTTATATCATGGTGACCAAACTTAAAAATACAAAAATTCAAGTCTGTGCCACATAAATTTTCATCCTTATATACCTGTATAGCAGCATCCATTTCCTCCCATGAATAAGAGCTGGAAGAGAAGCATAAAGAACATTTCTCATTTTCTCTGAAAGAAGAACTGAAGGTTCTGAAGCTTCTGGTAGATCAATCAAAGATATAGTCGCTTCCTCAGGCTTAATATGCCTCATCTCTACACCAGATAAATTAGAACCACGCCCATTGTCCAATTTCACTTCAGTCTCATCCTTCCTCTCTTGAGAGCGGAGTCCTGTGATTCTTGTTGCTTGGTTGATAGCTCTACCAAGAGATTGCTTACCCCTAGAAAACAAACTTTTCTTTCCACTATTTTCCTTCATGGCTGAGTCTGATGGAGGGGTATCAGTTCGACTTCTAGTGTCATTTTGCCTATCAGAGTTTGCATTGTCTCCAGAATCTGAAGAAGACAAGAACGAATAGAGGAATGCAGTGAAAGACGAAGTATCAGGTCCGTCAGTTAAATTCTGGTTACCATCTCGATTAGTTGACTCCAAATCAGGTACATTTGATATGTCCCCTTCTTCCTAAAGTGAACAACAGCCAGATGGATTTTAGAAGGAGATACCCTCTTAATTCCAGTTTAGAACCAAACTTCCAAATCCAATGAAACTAAAAGTCACATAATTAAAGAAGGAGAAACATAAGGACCCGACCCGCACACAAAAAATTGTATTGCAAGATGTACAAAGCTTATCGTGCAATTAAAGGCTAATTCACAAACGAAAACGATATGCCTTATCTATAACTCAATGAAGGGTAAGATAGGGTAGACGAAAGCCGAGGAAAAACAACTTCCACAACCAACATATGTCGGATACGCCATCTAAATTCATAAATAAGTAACCAAAAAGGAAATTACACTATACAGAAACGTAGAAGATTACGACTAATTTGGATTAAAAAGACAAATGAATTGATTCAGGGAAGGAACAAGCAGATTCTTCAAGTTACATGGTATAAGAATTAGCCAGAAAAATGGAACGCAAGAACTTACAGAAGGAGGGGGAGGGGCTTTAGAGGGTTTGTCAGAGATTGGATTGAGTAGGACAGTGGTGAGATCCGATACAAAATGAGCTGCTTTGCTCCGCAGTGATTGCTTTCGTCCCATTTCTATATACTACTAGAGACCATAACTTCCACCTCAGAATTTTCTATGGTGAGCGAGCACACCGTCTTTGGACAAAGATTCCTATGTTTTATCTTCCATTTCTGCTTCATTGACAAATTTGATGACAAATTAGAAATATCTCCTCCTCCTTTTATTCTCTGGATTATCTATTCCGAATATATGAAAAAGATTATGGTTGAAGTAATAGATTTCTTGGTGGTGTCACAGAGCTTTCCAAATGTTGCCCCCAACTTCGTCAACTCTTGCAGCTCGTAATAGTCGGTTCGGTTAGTCCGCCGATTGTCTTGGTTGTCTGCTTCGCCCAGTGAACTCAAAAAAAAAAAAAAAAAAAAAGCACGCACACACGCACACAAAAATAGAAAAAACAAAAAAAAAATGAAAAGAATGAGGCCAATAATTCGATTTCTTCCCCTTACCTTCTAAGGCACATGAGGAAGTAACTTTAAGATGGTGGTAACAGGGGTGTTTATAAGATGGGATGATATCGAGACATCTCTATCTCATGTCCCGTTTTTAAAAAATAATTGATACTCATTTTTTATCTCATATCTTGTTTTGCTTCGAAAGTTATCTTATCTCATTAAAAATTGGACAAGATTGAAACATTACACTATCATAATAAAGCGGATAATGTAAAATAAAGACATAAATAATAATATTTATTAAAATTTTAAATAACATAACTTATTATGGTTAAAATCAAAATAACATAAATAGATAAATTATAACAATTTAAAATTAATTATTGAATTACATCAATCACAACTCTAAATATATAGTACATTATAATAGTAATTATAAGTAATCTCTAAACTATAAAAGCAACAACAACAGACAAGTGAGGCATAACATTAAATTATTATTCTTTTTTTTTAGTTGAGATATGTTAAACTAACTATTCTTTCAAAAATAAAGCAAGAAATATGATATAAAAAAATTTATTAAATAGATAGATATACGAATAAATTACATTAATATAAGTGTTATAAAAAAAGATATTACCTTGTACTACTTACTCTATGTCATTAAAATATAAATATAAAAAAATCTAATTTTAAATAAGAATTGCACATATTGAAATTATAATTAGTATAATTAATATAAATATACATTATATTAATATAATCAATATATTTAATGTATAATTCTAAAATAAAATAATATATATATATATATACTCCCTTCAGTCTTATTTATAAAATACCTTCTAGAAGTAATTTTTTGTCTAAAATATAAGATATCTTGTAATATTTAAATTATTTTTTTAATTTTATTCTTTCTTGATTATCGTGAAAGTATTTAATATAGTTGTATTATTATTTAAAGTCAAGAATAAAAATGATAGTACCTTTCACTTTTTTATGATATAGTTGTATTTAATATAAGTGTTATAAAAAAAGATGTTACCTTGTACTACTTACTCTATGTCATTAAAATATAAATATAAAAAAATATAATTTTAAATAAGAATTGCATATATTGAAATTATAATTAGTATAATTAATATAAATATACATTAGATTAATATAATCAATATATTTAATGTATAATTCTAAAATAAAATAATATATATATATATATACTCCCTTCAATCTTATTTATAAAATACCTTTTAGAAGTAATTTTTTGTCTAAAATATAAGATATCTTGTAATATTTAAATTATTTTTTTAATTTTATCCTTTCTTGATTATCATGAAAGTATTTAATATAGTTGTATTATTATTTAAAGTCAAGAATAAAAATGATAGTACCTTTCACTTTTTTATGATATTGAGAAAAAAAGCTCACTTTTTTTAACATGCATGAAACAGTTGAAAGTGTCATATAGTAAAGATTGGAGGGAAGATAAAATATTTGGAATGTCCTGAGGACAATCTCATGTCTCATCCTATCCCAAACCACTTTCATATCCTATCTTATCTCATAAAGTTTCAGCCTGATTGTTTTGGGTCAAGATGAGATTCGTCTCGACATGATCAAGACAAAATCAAGCCCATTGAAAAGTAGTCAATCTTTGAAAAAAGAACCACACTTGCTAGTTGGACCTATAACATCCTAGTCTTTAATTCCCTAATTTTCTAAGTTTAATTAAGATAATTAAGTAAGTTGACATGGTGTGTAGTCAGAGGAAAATAATAAGCGTTTTCAATTAGAATTTCAAGTATAATTTAAGTCCAAAATGAAATTAAGTCACTTACAGATCAAAAAGAAAAAAAAAGCTAAACAACCTCTGTGCTATATGCCGCGACATGTGGGGACACGTGCCACGGTGCACAATACAAATTCTACAATTATCAGTCGTGAAAATGAGACAAAAAAAGAGAGAAGAGGAAAAAGGAAATGGAGAGACGCACCAAGCTCTACATTAGAGGTTACCAATACCCAAGGTAAGTATTATACTCATTAATCTCTCTATTTCTTCCACATTTATGAGTTTAAAGTTAGGGTTTGATAATGGAAGTAGATTTTCGGTCATATAGTTATGAGTTGGAATTTATTGACTCAAATAAAGTTAATGAGAGTATATTAGAGTATCTAAACCTAAGTATAATGAATTTTAGTATCTTGGGTTGTTAGGCACCATTAATCTAAAAATTTCATTTATTATGGGTGATTGGAAGATTGAGATGCCTAATGAGAATTTAATGATTCATTATTGTTATTGGGGACTAAAGGTAATTAATAAATTTAAGAGATAGGATCAAACTCTTGTGGAGTCAATTTAGACGATTTAGAAGTGGAGATTAAGGGTTTAATGTTTGAGTTAGTAATATTGATAAAATTTAACTTGATTGATTGTAGTTTTGGCTCTTGGTCACCTATTTGATTGGGAATTCAAGCTTGGAAATGCTTATAGTGAGGGGTAAATCTTTATCCTCTCAAAGGTTTAAAGTAATTGAGAAAACCCTATCTTGAATAGTTATATGTTAATTAATTGTTAATTGTAAATGTTGCATGTATGGATTGATTTTCAATGTGAAAGTATGCATTATTTTTAATAAGTGTATGAAAATTGAATGAGCATAATGTTATTTTTGATTTGAAATGTAAATGCAAAATTAAGATGTTTTTGAACTATAAATATGCATAACTATTTGAAAAAAAATAAATGTGATGTTATGTTGAGATACATGTGTGTTAATGAGAAATGAATTTTGAGATAAGTGAGAATAATGTTGAGAAAATGATGAGAATGCATACTTGAATAGTGCACAATTGTGAGCCCAATGTGATTATTGTGATAATGAGTAAATAAAAATAAAAACGTGAAAATAATTGAGTATCATATATGGCATTATCAGTAGGCGGGAGTTCACCTAGAGATTGAGAGTAGAGAAAAATTTATATGATATTTAGGCTACTCTCAAGTGCACGGGGGTATAGCCTTGTCTTATAGTTTATCAAGAGACTGTCCCATAGTTTGTCGAGGGACTAAAACCTAGCTATCTCTACCAGTTCTATAGGGAGAATAGTTTAGGGTATGAGACACCACAGAGATTTGAGAATGAGGTAAGCTATAGTCTAAGAGTAAGTCATATGATCTTTAGTCGTGTCACACTTCACGATTGATGAGTTTGGATAGTCCAGTCATACAGACGGAGCCTTATTCAGTGTTATAGCTTATAGTTTCAGTATGAGAAAATAAGGAGAATATAAGGTTGGTTGATCATTGCCTATATAAATATATGATGCGTTGTAAGTGTGAAGTTGTGGCAAGTCGCGTGAATAATGAGTCATGGTCATATATCTAAAAGGATTGTCACAATGCACCTAGTATAAGTAAGATAAATATGTTATAAAATGAGTAATGATGTGTTATGATATGTGTGAGTATGTTTTAAGTGATTGATTTCATATACATGTGCTTGTTTTATAATTGATATATAACTGTATATAATAGGTTTTATCTTAGTTATTGAGTGGCTAGACTCAGCCTTTTCATTTAATATTTTTTTAAGCTCTAACTTTAGTGCAGAGAGGGAGAAGGCTCAAGAGGTTAGAAATTAATGTATGCCTCTAGCTTAAATTTATTTTTTGTAATAGAATTTGAATGCCAATTCTAGGTTGCATGTTATTACACTTGCACTATTTTGTTGTGACAACCTTTTAAGTTGTATTTTGAGCCTTGAGAATTTGTGTATGATTACATATATATATATATATATATATTGATAGGGTCAAAATACTAGTGCAAGTGTAAAAATGATGATTTAAACATGTTTTGATTGGTTTGGGCATAATGCAATGGAAATTTACCTCCCCCTCTGTTTTTTTTTTTTTTGTAAAAAGGAGTTGAGGAGTAAAATCATGTTATACTATTGTTTAAGTGAGTATGACATGTTGTATTAATAGTCCTAGGTCTAATAGACATGGTCCAAGTATTAGACAAAGCTTTTGGCACTTGTTGAGGGTTTTAGACACCCTTTTATGTGAAAGTTGTGAAAAGTGATTAAAATATATTTGGGTGTCTAAATTTCTGGTGTGACTTATTATGAAAGTAAAACTCATGCCATTAGCTAACTCATGTAAAAAGCTTTTTGTAGATACCTAAATCATGTCATTTGGATGTCAGACGGAGAATAGGGGCGAGTCAGAAGTTTCTTGATTCTACTATCAAATGATAGCATAATTGCTGATATTTTCGTGTAATACATCGCGACGCATGGCGCCTGAGCCATGACGCGTGGTACAGAGAGCAACATGCCGCAGCATAGCGTGCACAAGACATGACACATTGCTCTATTACATATTAAAAAATTATTTTTTACTTGTTTTCGATTTCTTTTACTCTTTTAAGATATCCTATATTTCTGTAACTTATTTTTACTTTGATACAAGTGACTTCGATTGTTTTGAATTCTTTATAATTATAAAAAACTTGAAATCTCTTGCTTTTAAATTTAACCTTGATAATCACTCTAAATTAATCCTTTGATTCTCATAAATTATATTAATTAATTGTGTTTAGTGAACTGAAATATTATTGGACTGATCCAACCGGGATTGTTGTATTAATATATTTCGGGTAAAATTGAGACCATCAGAAAACCGTTCGACAAATATAAGAAACATAAAAAAGGAATAAACATAACATCAATATATAAGAACCGTTCAATAAATATCGTAAAAAGGAATAAATATTAAAAAAAAAAAAGCTAGTAGTCAATGTTTAAGGTGTGGACTATGCTAGCCTCGGCGACTTGTTCAATTAGACCAATAATTTGGGATCAATTCAAACAGGTCCAAAAAAAACAACAATTAAAATCAAGTTTAGCAAAATAACACATCCTTTATGTTTGGGCCAAGTCCAAGCCCGATAGAACTTGGTTCATTTATCCCAACAACACTTAATATTTAAAAATAGGAAAAATTAATCTTTTAGTCCTTCAACTTTTAACTTACTTGTAACTCAGTCCCTCAACTATGACTCACTGTGACTCAGTCCTTCAACTATAACTCGCTGCAACTCAGTCCCTCAACTTTTGATTTACCTATAACTCGGTCATTATTTTTTAATTTTTTTAAATTTTTTATCAAATAAAAGGGGTAAAAAAATGCTCATATATTATTTTAAAATACCCTCTTCTTATTCATTAATGTGAGATAGAAGTTAACATGAAAAAAAAAATTAACAAAAGTTAAGGAACTAATTTGTAAGTGATTCAAAAATTGAGGGACTGAGTCATAGGCGAGTTATAATTGGAGGACTGAGTCACAGTGAGTCATAGTTGAGGGACTGAGTTACAAGTGACTTAAAAGTTGGAGGACTAAAAGATTAATTTTTCCTTAAAAATATATTTAATGCATTAAATATTAATTAACCTTTTAAGTTTTGATTCATTTTATAAGAAAAAAATTATATATTTAAGTACATTATTTTAGATACTTTTCTTTAGTAAATTAAAAATATTAATGTTATTATATTTTTATTATTTTTAAGCTAAGTATTCTAAAAATATATTTTATAATAATAAAAATAATTAATTTTAAACTAAAGATTGAATTTTTTTTAAATGATAATTCGTGTATATGGACAGGATCCAATAAGCCCAATGGTGTTGGAGCCAAATTTGCCTATGTAATCCCTTTTATATATTCGGGCTGGTTCAAATTGAGAAATTGTTACTTTACTCCTATAAATCTTCAAAACAGCCGTAGGGAACCATTGTCCTCCCATTGCAAATCCCTCTGTAACTGGAAGAAAAGAATTAGAGTATATATACATATTGGATAAATTGGCTCACTGGCAAAAAAAAAAAATCTTGTAATTAAAAAATATTAACCAAATTCTTAAAAATTTAGAAGTACAACAGGTTTACATTAATATTCAAGGGATTTATTATTAAAAATTTATAAGAGATTTATTATTAATATACAATCGTATATCATTAACAAATAAAATAAATTAGCCATAATATAATTATAATAAATGTTGGACTGTTTATTAACTTGATTCTATAGTATAAATTATATCTGCAAAAGTCCCTACATATATCAAGGAAAGAAGAAAGGAAAAATTCTTGAGTTATCTGTTTTGTTGTCTTTCAACATTTGAATAGAGGAGGGACTTAGAATCCTATTTTACGGTAATGGAAAGGAATAAAAAGGAATGTAAGAAAACATGTATATATTATTGTTAAAAATTGAATCTCAACTTATAAGTTTTATCAGGTTTCCTTAGAAATATACCATGTTAAGGTTCAAATTTTAATAATATATATATATATATATATCAGAAGACAATATGATATACAAAATTGATGAGCTTTTATTGTGATAAATTACTTGAAATAGCCTTAAATATCATTTTTCCTGTTTCTGTATCCTGAAACCACAATGTTTCTGTAGATACAATGTTTGACATTTTTTGATAATAAAGTTTCACGATACTTTCAAAGCAAGCTGCCTCACATCACATGGGAATTATACTATTTGTCATGAGCCATCAACTGCTTAGGCCATTGCGTATAATGCTCTCCATTTTTCAGTGCATAAAAGTTCACTCATGGCCCAATCATGCGATCATGTGGGTCTCACTAGGTGCTGAAGCAATGTTTGCAAATCTTGGTCATTTTATTGTTGTGTCAATAAAAAAAAAAAAAGCATGACCATGAATCACAAATTAGATTAATTTAGGTCAAAAAACTTAATATATCAAAACGAAAGCATGATCAACGTACATCATGCCCATGGGTACACCGGTGTCGTTTTATGCGTCAAAGACCAGTGGACGGAGAGAGTAATTATTTAATTATTTTTATTTTTTTAAAAAAATACATAATTTTTATTCAAAAAATAATAATTACATGCTGTCTTGGTCAATTGATTGGGCCCAATAGAATCATTACCTGTTGCTTCCTTCCTTTTTGTTTTTTGTTTTTTTTGGTACGTGGCGTTTGGGCAGATCCGAAAGTGATTCACGTAATCACAAAGACAGTCGCACTAATAATTTTTGCCTGAACAAGAACTCCATCCACTTATTACATATCTGTTTTATGCGTCACATTGATTTCGATTTCCTCCACCGCATTGCAGGTTCAGATCGATTGACGAAAAGTGACTATGGCGACTCTGAAGGTGCCTGCTCAAGTTCCTTCTCCGTCCGAGGATGCCGAGCAATTGCGGAAAGCTTTTGAAGGTCCTGAGTTCGTTTTAAAGATCACTGGACCGACATGACTAACTTTTTGAATTTACATTTTCTTTGCGCTAGCTATTTGGATTTCCTTTGTGTTACTTGATCATTGATCTGTTCTCATTTATCAATGCTCATGTTTTTTTTTTTTTTAAATCGGTCTGGAATTTCTTGTGATCGTGATCTGATCGTGTGTACTGATGATGCTGAAATTTTACTTAAATCGTAATTTTTGTTCTGCATCTGATCACTGTTACTGGTTCTTGTGTTTGATGATATGTGATCTTGCTACGTGCGCCCGTGATACGTCCCTTTGGTTTATGCATCTCGTGGAATTCACTTTTGAAAAGCGATCACTTCGATTTTAAAGCACTGCAGCGGTGTGGATACATCTGTAAAGCTGTTCCTCGTGATAAATCCCTACGCTTACTTTTTCCAAGCACAATATTCCTTTCAGGAGCCTTGCTTTTAAGCATGATTCAGATCTTTAAAGTTTTGTATTCTTATTCCTAGTGATTTGTTTCATTTTATTGCTTGACAATGATAATACTCTTATTAGAGATTTCATTTTATTCCTTTGATTGCACCCTTCATGAGCCGTGTGGTAGTTCTTTTCCTTGCAGTAAAGAGAAGGCATATACAGTTCTCCATTTCTAGAGTTATCCCCTCTCTCCATTGTTTGCGAAAATTTGGATTAAAACAAAGCGTGAAAAAGTTTGTGGCAGCTTGAATTATGTGTTTTTCTTATTCTAGGAACTAAGTAATCAGTCTCATTCATCTAGTGTTACTTACTTGTCAATTATTGCTCGTTGTGAAATATATCTGCAGGTTGGGGAACAAATGAAGCCTTGATAATCTCGATCCTGGCTCATAGAAATGCATCTCAGCGTAAGTTGATTTCTGAAACATATGCTGCTACTTATGGAGAAGATATTCTTAAATCCTTAGACAAGGAGCTTTCAAGTGACTTTGAGGTTAGTTTGAATCTTTCGACATTTGTTCTCTGTTCTTCTCAATTTGATGGCTATTTTATTTGTCAGAATTTCAATGTTATTGTTAGTGCTTTAATTTTCCTTCATCAAAGTATGCAGTTTCGGTCTTCCCCAAGAATAACCCTGAGAAAAGTCAACAGGCATGCGCTGTTATGAAGCTATTAATTCATTATGCTGCTAATGTATGCTGTTGTGTATATATAACAGCGTGTTGTGTTGTTGTGGGCTTTGGGTCCCGCTGAGCGTGATGCATTTTTAGCCAACGAAGCTACTAAGAAGATGACTTCAAACAATTGGGTTCTTATGGAAATTGCCAGCACCAGATCTTCACTTGATCTGTTTAAGGTAAAGCAAGCTTATCAAGCCCGTTTTAAGGGATCCCTTGAAGAGGACGTTGCCTACCATACATCTGGGGACTTCCGCAAGGTAGAACCTTACTACTTTCGAAATGCTTATAGTTTTCTTGCTTTGAAAATGTTACTCATTAATCTGGTAATTTTGTAGGGGTTATTCCTTTGATTGATGTGATTTATTAAGTCAAAATGTTCCAAAATTTACACCTTTTTGCTTTGAGGAGCGCTTTATTATGGTCAGTGGTGCCAAAATACAAGTATGTTACAAAAAATAGAGCATTCAAATTACAATTCACTTCAACAACAACAAACCTTATCTCATTAGGTGGGCAAATTATTTAGCATGGATCTTCTTCTGCAATGCATGCCATTTTGTTAGAAAAGAATGAGTAATACAAGACGGAAAAAAAAAATGCATATAGTTAACTCTCTGTTTTTTCTTTTTTTAAATCCGCTGTCTTTTTCTTTCTCTCTCTTCGATAAAGGATAGCGTGCTGCAGGCAAGCAAGAGAGGATATCTGGATTATGAATTGCCAGGCTTGGCATTTGATGATGACACATCCCTGTGTTTTTGCATCATCATGCTTAGAAAATAGCAAGTCGATCAAATTAGGACTCTTTTCTTTCACTTTCTTTCTCGTCAAGTCTTTATGCATTTTTGACAAATCTTATCCGAGTGCTCCCGCGACAGCTGTTGGTTCCTCTTGTGAGTACATTCCGTTATGAGGGAGAAGAGGTGGACATGACATTGGCAAAATCAGAGGCAAAATTGCTTCATGAGAAGATTTCGGAGAAGGCTTACAATCATGAGGAACTGATCAGGATTATAACAACAAGAAGCAAAGTACAGTTAAACGCAACACTCAATCAGTACAACAATGATTTTGGGAATGCTATAAACAAGGTATAACCTTCATGTGAAACTAATCAAAACTTGTTTGAAACACTGTCAATTATTGAAACTCTTGTACCTGTGCTTTCAACTTGCTGACCATTAAAACTATTGGAATAGTTTGGCTTATTGATATCAAATTATGGATTAACCTCGTACAATTTAATTAAACGGACAATGCTTTAGTTTTGGTGAAAGAGGTTAAAAATTGTCACTAAACAATGCTAGGTCAATTTCTTTCTTAGCATCTAACGGCTAGCTCTAGAAGTTATCCCCGTGTCATGTATTAATTAGCATAATAGATATTAGTCTGTAATTAGTTGTTTATTTGTTATCGAGCTTCTGTATATATACATTACTTAATCGAAGTAATAAAGCAATTCAGTTTTATCTCAGATATTTTCCCCTACTTCGTGCTTCCGCTGTTCAATCTGTTTCATTCTTTGCAAAGCTGGACTGACAAAAATCTCCTTGCTGCAGGATCTGAAAGCCAATCCGGAAGACGAATATCTGAAACTCTTGAGATCTACAATTAAGTGTCTAACCTTCCCTAAGAAGTATTTTGAGAAAGTTCTGAGGATGGCTATAAACAAGGTGGGAACTGATGAATGGTCGCTTACTAGAGTGGTGACCACTAGAGCTGAGGTTGACATGGAGCGAATTAAGGAGGAATACCAAAGAAGAAATAGCATTCCTCTGGACCAAGCAATATCCAAGGACACTTATGGAGACTACGAGAAAATGCTTCTTGCGTTGATTGGTCATGGTGATGATTGACAATACTTCATCTGTTCAGTAGTCATAGAACGGCTGATCAGGTTATCTGCCTTCGTTCTCGTCCTGTATTACTGAGTTTTGATGTGGATGTCTGAGCTTCGGTATGATTTGGTCATTCCTGTTTATTAAGTGCTGTGCTCCTGACATTTGCGTGTTGGCCTCTTGTCTGTTCTTGATATGCCATGGTTGGTTTTGGAGGTTTGGGTATGAATAAGCAAACCTTGAAGAAATTTTCCAATATTTTATACGCATGGCTTTATATTATCTATTAATCTATTACTATTGTCCGTGAATACCATCGTGCCAAGAATTAAAGATTTCTAATTAGGACATGCTAAATCACAATTTCACCAAATCGTTAGATTACTTCACAGTAGGTTTTCTTCTGCCTTGGCAACTTGAAGTGTTAAAAAATCCCTAGCCTATGTGTATTGTTTTATGTTTCCATTTCCAAGCTGGATGCGTGCAAGCAGATTCCAATGTGATGCTACTTAGCTCATATTTGATGCAAAGGAATCTTTCCCTGAAACTCTATTGCCAGGTGAGGATCAGAAACATTTAAACAGATCAAAGAGCCACCTAGTACCATCTACCAAGTAACAACTGCATCACGCTTTGTCTTCGAATTCTGAAAAAGTTATGATAAGTTAAGATGGTCACAAGTCCCTTCCAGTCAAAACATGAAGTCCTTACGAATTACTAACATGCCTACGTATCTCTAAATGTGACTAAAACATTATTATTGATGTTGTTATCGTTATAACTTAGACCAAGGTGATGCTGCTTTCCCCGCCGGGAGGTCTGCGAGCACCGCGTAACGGGTCTCTGTTTTCGGCCTTTCCATCAGCAAATATATTGCTGCCTGTCATTTCTCTCAGTTTAGCCCTACTCAGAGGCTTGTCCGCCGATCCCGTTGAAGCTTCAACATTGAAAATGTTGTTGCCTGTTAACTCCGCGAACTTCTGGTCATGTATTTTCTTTGATGCCTTGGGCGGTTCTTCTCCAATTAAGATCTTGCTTTGGCCACCCGCAGGCTACAGAAAACGAAAAATGAAGGAAAATAAACACTGGTCAAGATGCGATTGTAACCATATAGAGCACATAGAGACTCTTTAATCAGATCAAAACAGAAAAACATATGAATGAACATAAAACTAGAATTATCAAGTTCAATGCAGTACAATTGCTTGCGATAGGAATATGCAAAAAAGCAAGTGATAAAACAGCATAACTTGAAACAAACTGCCATGCCACAAAAAAGCGTCTCCTATTTCAGTCACAGAAGATAAAGCAAAAGATCCAGGGGAAGGGAAGTTTATGATGGAAAACGAGTAAACAACAGAGAAACTTACATTGGAAACTTTAACTGATGTGCGCACATTGCGTGGAGCTGGTTCTCCCATATCTTTACTTTCCTTTGATTCGAGAGTGCGTGCGGCAGCCAATGAACGAGGTGTAATTTCAGGAGGAGGGCCAAATATGTCATGCCCACTGAGTTCCTTGGACTTGGCATTGGATATTTTCTTAGCCTTTGCGTCTGATTCACTTTTCAATGTCCCACTCAGTTCACGCTGCTTAGCTACCTCAGGTAACGAGGTAGGCTTCTTAGGTGAAATACTTTCTTCAGTACTGAAGGATATCTGACTAACTCCATTCATTACTTGCTGAGATGCAATACACACGAAGTTTGATATTTGAGAAATATTTATATGGTTTATAGACATGCCGCACCAAGGAATTCATCCAACATACCTGATACATTCGCAGGCCGGTCTTGTTATTTGAAGCAGATTTGGCTTCTGATGCATTGTCTTCAGCTTTAGCTGAAAATATGCCACTTCCAGTCATCTCTTTCATTTTATACCCTGAGCATGGTTTTCTGAGAAGAGTACATATATAAAAGGTTACCAGCAAGAACAGATTGAAATGACGTTTCCAACTTAACCAGAGGCAATGTATTCTAGTTTACATAATGATTTTCATAACTATAAAATTTCAGCATCTGATATACATACATACACACACACACACCATATATATATATATATGATGTACAATGCATGCACAAGAAAAACACTTGTGTTGTGTTTGGATTAATGGGGTCCAAACTAATTATACAGTGAAAACTATGGATTTTGATTTGACTCAAATTCAAATATATTTTTTAATTTTAATTTAAAATTCTCTCTACACCCTAGTTATCATTTAAAATTTTAATCATTTCAAACCACTAGTTTTCTTCGTGTTATTACTATTGATGTCTCAATCACTCTCACATCTTCTCTCATCTCTCATTATCATCTCTCATCAGTTAAAAAATAAAAATAAGCTCATCACTCACAATTTTCTGTTTTCGATTCAAATTTCAACTAATCTCTTTTCTTCCTTTGAAATTTTTTAAGTTACCCAAATAAAGAATTTTAAATGTGAGATATGAGATGTGAGATTTTAAATCTAAAATCCAAATCCAAATCTACGAATTCAAATGCTACCTTTACCTTGATGATTAAGGTTAGTGATGTTTAACAATGCAATGTGAAAGAAAATAACAGTAATTTCAAACAAGAAAAAATGGGAATCACTACCATCTTGTGTCATATTGCTTTTTTATTTTTGTCATCTATTTCTGGGGAGGTTTTGGGAGCAGGGAGGGAGGGTGATAGGCATAGTAGGAATCAAATCCTTCTGCATCGGTAATATATGACCCAAAGCTGGCTGCTTTGACCCGTAGATCATATAATGTATTGAGCGAATCATATGTGAATTTCGTCTCGCATTTCTTTCGCAGGGATTTACGAACTTTCATTTGACGCAGATTCCAACAGCCTATGGAGTATTTTACCCGTCCATCTTCAAAGCTAAAAATTTACAACTTGAACCCATAAAAGAAAAGGGCATGAACATCAAAGCTGCAATGTCAACTTAAATATAAATTCTGCGCATGATTTCAACAGAAAATCCCAGAATTTACGGTGTTTTACCACTATACTTGGAAGTTGAGAACTTCACTTAGTTATCTTAACAGAAGACATTGAATTAGCCATTTACGAAGATCGCACAACAGATCGGTACAGTCAAAGAAGTTTTATGCAGTGACCATCAAAAACCAGGAACAATGAAGCCAAAAATAAAATCAGATCAAGGAGCAAACAAGCTGAAAATGAACCCAAAAAAATAACAGATCTGACTGTCCGTGCATACTTAACAAGAACGCAGACCCAAATTTTAAGGGGGGGAAATCCAAATACTAAACAAGTAAGAACTAGTTATGAATCTTACATCTTCTCGAGACTCCGTGCTTCTTCCTCAGTGACCTGGCCTCCATGAAGCACCTTGCTGATTTTATCGGCCGGCTGTGAATGAGATGAGGGAAGTTTAAAGAACAAAGTTAATCACTGCGTGAGACTGAACGTAAAGCAAAAAAAAAAGAATCACAGGTAAGGAGTTAAAGGTAACCTGATGAGATCGGCTGCCGGAGCCGGTGACGGTAGTGGAGGAACCGGTGGGAGGAGTTTCCGACCATGTAAGAAGATCTGAGGTGGAAGTGTTAGGCTTCCTCACCGGCGTGCTTCTATGCATTTTCTTCTCTTGGAGTGAATCTTGGGGCCGCGTGATATTTCTGAGGACTGCGAATGACCGAGTGACGAAGAATAGGAGAGAACGAGATGTTATATTGTGAAGATTTTGAAAATATTTAAACTTTAAACGATAAAGTTCCTTTTTTTTTTTTTTGAGAGAGAGAGAGAGGGAGAGAGAAGAACAGTAAAAGCCATAAGGCTTTGAATTTCGTTGCGCAGTGAAACAATGTCTGGAGAGTGTGTATATGCCTGGAATCTCAGTGCACATGGTGGACATGTGTCATTTGACAGTGCACACGGGCTAGAGCTGATCCTTGGAGCTTAAGCTAATAAGCTCAAAGAACTTTTAACAAATGTTAAATTTAAATTTTGAAATTACTTGAAAATAATAATAAAATTAAAAAAATCAAATTAATAAATATTAAGTCGTCACAAAAAATTCTTAAAAAATAAGTTACAAATATTAATTTCATGTGTAAAATAAAAATTATGTTTAAAATTTAAATAACTTATTTGTTATTAAAACTTTTGAATTATCAATTCTTTAAATTGAATTTTGCAACTTATTTATTCCCTTTTTATAATCAAGCTTTTTAGAGTTAATAATAATAGGCTCAAAACGACCAAGTCAGAACCATATATATCCAGTTTGGCCCAAAAAAAAAAAAAAATCGTATACATTCGTGCTAGTTTAAATATTCAATTTTTTTTTCGTGTGCATGTCGTTTCTCTTTTAATTTCAACCCTTTATAGTTACTTTTTTTTTTTAATTTTTAAAGCTATTAATATGAGCTAAGCATTGCATATAGATCCATAACAATTAATGAGCATCCAGCTCCGTTATAAGTTGGGATTTTTTGTATCAACACTAGAGTTGGTAGATAAAATTACACTATACTTAAATTAAGTATGTCAATAATTCCTCATAATATTTTATAGGTATTTTTGCATTGAAATCAAAATAAATAAAATAAGAAAGGAATAAAAATAACTTTTGTTTCTTTTTTCTCGGATGAAGAAAGTTTAATTATTGGATACATATAAAATTCAATTGGCCTAGTCATAAAGAAAAATCATTTCTTTTATGATATCTTTTAAAATCATAATTATACAAGTTGAAGACCAAATAAACCAAAAAATTCAAGTAGGAAAATTTGTTTAATCATTATTATATATATAATATGAACTTATGAAGATTATATTATTCAGAAGTTATAAATAACATGTTTCTTGATTTCCATAGAAATGGGTCTAATTATTGTCAATTAGCTTATCAAAGATAAGAAATGCTATTTTAAATATTGCATGTACCTTCCTACATATTTTCATTGGTTAGTGAATTCTGATTCTCTGTTACGTTACACAGCTCAATAGAAACTTAAAATATATATATATATATATATATATGAATAAGAATCCAATTTTTTGTAGTACGTGATCAACTTGTTCTAACGACTCTTTCGTGCAGAAAAAGATATCATAGCAAAATCATTTCGGTTATATCTTAATTTCATGTTAATCTTAGCGTATCTTTTAAGGATACACAACGTGTTCTTGGAAATCTTGATCACCGATAATTTTCATGAAGTTTCCTTCAGAAATTTGACCGACAAATAGTTGTCTTGTTCTTTTTTTTTTAAAAAAAAAAAAAAGCCAATGTTAGTTAGTTCCACAAATTTTTTTTTAGCGTCTATATGGGACCAAAAATATTAACATGAGGCTGAAAATTTAATTTCTTTTAGACAACAAGTGTAGCTCAGTTGATAAATTGTATTAGCTTAATAGTTCCATATATTTGACTTTTGAAAATGCAATTGTGTTAAAATTTATTGGAAGAGGTTGGCCAACAAAATTAGGTCTGTATTCTATGAATTTCCAAGCCCTTTCACTCAATAGCTCTCTATTCATATAAATTTGTTCCTGTAAGTAGGCGATACATATTCTAAATAAAATCTTTCCAACAAAATTAGGTTTATGTAATTTTGTTCTCATCCTTAAACAATGATGAGAATAATGAAGCCAACCATGCAATATCTCAGTTGTGGATATCATAACTGTGAGATTGCAATTGATAGGACCCACCTGCATGCTGTTCATATGATTATACGCATTGCTCTTTTTGTCCCCCTTCAATATTCTTAATCCTAATTATATTATAAAATATGTTGATTATTTCTATCATTTTGACTTCTTTGAAAAGTATAATGATTGCAGGTTCTGAGGGCAAAATGGGATTTCAAAAGGTGCAGATTTTGATACCAACACCACATTGTTTTGTGAAAAATATCATGTGAATATGATATTAAAAAAAAAAACTAATAATCATGCCAATAATCTGAAAATCCTGAAAACATCCTACCTGATCTTATATTTGTATTGCCACATTAATCTTAATAATCAATCTTCGGTTTATAACAGAATATATATATATATATATAAGTCAAACAGTTTATAAAGAAAAATTAATATGACTTCAATTTTCACACACAAATTAATATGACTTCAATTTTTACACAAGCATGCACGCGCGCGCGCACATACACACACATATATATGCTTCTTCCAATCCAACTTATAGGTTCTGTTTTAAAAAGGTGAATTGATCTTTTTTATAAATTGTTAGGGTAATAGAAATATTTTGTTTTAAATGAAATTCTCAAATTATCTTTCTCTTCACTTCACCTTTTTGAACCACCACAATTTCATTGTGTGTCTCGCTTTACTTCTAGTTGCTGGATATCTCTTTTTTGGTCGACGTTAGCTACAATCTTGTAGTTCCTCTTCCATTGACACTTCTTATTGTCATTTCTTGCAACCTCGTCATTCAAGTTATGCTTTGTGTTTGATGAAAAATGGTTTTGAGAGTCTATCACAGGATGAATTGATAAGGTGTACGGTCGATGATTGATCTTTTAATGGGGAAAAAAGTTTTCTTCCATTCAACCTCTTCGAAGAGGTAACCTCTCTAAATAAAAACTTTCACTTTTTCATCCCTTGGCTAAATTAGAAGAGGTTTGCTTTTCCATGTTTGTAAAGTAAGAGAGGGAGAGAGATAAAAAAATAATATTATATAATTTGCTTATTTTTTACTTTTTACTTTAAAGTTATGTTTGAAATTTTATTTACTTTTATTTCTTGTGTATTGTATTGGTATTGATAAGATTAGTAGAAGTGACTTATAAATAGGGACAAAATGAGTATGTATGTATATATATATATATATATATATTCAGTAGGGGTGTTCATGATGCTCGATTACCTGGTATGCCCGCCCGAACCCAGTTATTTTTTGCCCAACCCAATCCAAAAATAAGCCCGAAATGTTCTGTACATGTTTGGGCTGGGCAATGTGCGGGCAGGGTCAGACAGCGGGCAAGTCATGCAGCCCTGCCTGTTTAGCCCAGCTTGATTTTTTATGATTTTTTTGTTAATTTTTCTGTTAATTTTTCTATTAATTTCTTGCTAACTTTTCTATGATTTCTTGCTAATTTTTTTAGCAAACTTACATATTATTGTTTTTAATTCTCTCATATTTTGGTTCCCATTTTGCTTTAAATTTTCATGTATGTTCTTGCAATTTTTCTATTTAGTTATGACATATTTTTTCTCTTCCATTCATACAAGTTGGGAATTGGGAAAAGGCTTTTTGTGAATTTGAGCCTACTCTTTAAAATTGTTGTTTCTCATATGATGCTCCAAGCTTTTGTTATTTTGAATTATAGCTATTATTTTGGATTAAATTATGGATAATTTAATATTGTGTCAAGACTTATGGAAGTTTTAGATTTCAAGTTAAATGTTGAATTATGGATAATTGAATATTGTCTCTGTTATTGTGGATTTATGGTTTATGGATGCTATTTTGAGTTGATATATAGGGTTATTATTGTTGATTTGTGATAGTTTTATTTTAAAACGATGAAAAGAATTGTTATTTTATGAGCAGGGCAATTATTTGATGGGCTAGGCGGCCCAAAGCTGCCCAACTAGCCCTGCTCTGCCCAAACTAATAGGGTATTTTTACGGACAGAGCTGGGCATCAAGCTGCATTTTGCAGCCCATTCATTCTTCGGGCTGGGCATCGGGCAAGGTCCTACCTTGCCCATGTGCACCCCTAATATTCAGTACAATATACAAATCTAACGAATTAATTACTTTTTTAAAAAAGGGTGGTAAATCAATAAATCAACCCTTAAGCTATAAGTTTATAAGTATATGGGATCCTAAACTCATCTTTTATACAATATTCCCTTCAACTTTTGAAATGGTACATTATAACCCCTATCATTAATAAAAGTTAAATTTAATCATTAGTTAATTAAAAAATGATAAAAAAGAACATAAAAAATTACAGAAAAGAACAAAAAATTATAATGAAGGATCCAAAAATTACATATAAGGACTAATAATTTTTTTGATCATTTTCCGTAATTTTTAATGTCCTTTTCTATCCAACCAATAATTACAATTAACTTTTGTTAACCATAAGGGTTAGGTTATACTATTTTCAAAAGTTGAAAAGAAATATTATACAAAAAATGAGTTTAAAATTTTCAGATGCTTCTAGACCTATAGTTTAAGAGTCAATTTACTCATTTATCCAAAATAAAATATTTGGTTGCTTGAAAATGAAAAGATACAAGTTCTCAACATGAGGATTGAATAGGAACTTCATAATGAACCAAAACTTTGGGTTTAGTTAGAAATCAAAGATTACAACTAATAAAGGTTGGGTTTTGTAAAAGAAGTTAACTGGCTAGCTTCTTATAATATGACAAATTAATATTTAAATTTTTAGTGAGAGAGATATTCATATTTAACATCTGACCATAGGAGACTTGTGGGTAACAAAAATAAAATAAAATAAAAAATAAAAACACACGCACGCACACAAAGCGAAGCCTATAATCCGCATAGAATCAATTTAATCTTAATCTAGAAGAGAGGGCATGACCTCAAAATCTTAAAATGGGCTTACAACAATTTTCTCCTTTTCTATTCCTGCCCCGTACCCTAAAATGTCAAGCCCAACAAGCATTGCTTTGTTTTCATGCTTTTCCATTGATTACCGTCAACTTTTCCCCCTAATGACTGTTATTTGTTCATAACTGGTAGTAGCTCAAGTTTCTTGGACAATTAGTT